ATGATATGAATGCTCAAGTTGATAGATTTTTTTTTTTTTTCTTGAGTTGGGAGTTCCCCAGAGATACTCTAGGTGGAGGCTCTGATTTTCTGGAGCTATTTGTGCTGAGTGATTTCCCCAAGGTCACATAACTACTGAGGCCCCTGGCTTCCCGTAGTGTCGTGTCGTCTTTCTACAGCACCAGCCTAGCTCAGGAATGTTATTTGCATAAACAAGTTTCGCTATATGAGCTCAGTTACTGAACTCCTCTTTTGTTAAAGTCGCCATAAGTTCACGTAATAACAGCAGTTATCATGAATACAAAGAAGAGGGGCAGGATGTTAATGAGACGCTGTGGGAGGTCGGTAAAAGGTGTTTTTCTTTTATCCTAACAGAAGACACTCTGGCAAAAAAAAGCTTGTGATCAGTTCTGTTTCATGCTGGATCTTTGAAGAATTAGGAAATACCAGGCGTGCTAGAAAGAAGCAAGCCCTCCAAGTCTTAATTTGGGGAAAGTTTCAGAGGATCCCTGAGATTTTCTTAAGCTCATAAGTTCCAACACCCTTCAGAATTTATGTTTAGGGATGAATCATCTGCTCTCCTCTCAGGCTTCCAGGGGTTACTCAGAAGCGGGGAGGTAATTGGAGGACAGAGTAGAGGATATTCACAGAAATGTGCGACCATCATCCGGTTAATTTTAGAACTTTTCATCACCCCAAAAAGAAAGCCTGTATCTATTAGCAGTTACTCCCTATTTACCCCCAAGACTCCCAAGGTAATCACTAATCCACTTTCTATCTCTATGGACTAGGTTGTTCTGGACATTTCATATGAATGGAATCATACAATATGTGGTCTTTTGTGACTGAATCCTTTTGCTTATCCTGTCTTCAAGGTTCATCTGTGTTGACATGTGTATTACACAGCACATTCTGTGTATCCATTCGTTAGCTGTGGACATCTGGGTTGTTTCTACTTTCTGGCTATTATGAATAATGCCCCTATGAACATTCGTGTACCGGTGTTTGTGTGAACACATATTTTCATTTGTCTTGGATGTATACCCAGAAGGGGAATTGCTGGGTCCTATGGTAACTCTATGGTTACCATTTTGAGGAAGTGTCAAAGTGCCTGGCACCTTTCTGCATTCCACCGGCAGTGCATGAGGGTTCCAGTTTCTCCACATCCTCCCCAACGCTTGTTATCTTTTTATTATCACCATCTTAGTGGGTATGAAGTGGTAATCTCATGGCGGCTTTGATGTGCATATCCCAAAGGCTAATGATGTCGAGTATATTTTCACGTACTTACGAGCCATTTGTATATCTCTTTTGGAGAAATGTCTGTTCATATCCTTTCCCATTGTTTCCGGTCCCGTGGGTTCTTTTCACTTTCTTGATGATACTCTTTGCAGAAGTTTTGATGAAGTCTAATTTTTATCTATTTTTTCTTTTGTCTCTGGTGCAGTTCCAACATTTGGAAAGATATATCTAGTTCCTCGGGGAAGAGGAACTTATAGGTGTGCTGGGAACTTAATTATTATTATTATTATTATTATTATTATTACTTTTTAAGATTTTATTTTTAAGTAATCTCTACATCCAACACGGGGCTCCAACTTACAACCCTGAGATCAAGAGTCACATGCTCTGCCGTGAGCCAACCAGGAGCCCTGGGAAGTGTATTATGGATGTGACCCTTTGGAGATGAGGAAACAAGACACTTAGAACCAAGATATACGAAAACAGTGGACAAAGGAGATTAAAAAAAAAAAAAAAATCAGTGGCTAACTTCAGTTGACTATGAAGCTCTCTGTTATTCACGATCCTGGCGGGAAGCAGATGGGCTACTCCAAAGAGGTGACTCTGGGGAGTTTAAGGAAAGGACTTTTATATGAAGGTGTTGACAGTGTGGAGGGAAACCGACAAATGATGACAAAGCATCCACAGCTGGTCCTGCTGGGAAGCTGCTAACTCGGTGAACCGGGAGTGCAGTCGCTGGAAACGAGTTGTAGGGAAGGGCTGCACGCGGGAAGCTGTGACTTTTAGTAAAGGAATGTGGCCACTGCCAGCCTACGGGGTGACGAGGAGGGGACTGGAGGCATGATGCCTCCAAGTCTGTTTCCTTCCGCTCTGTGGTCTCCAGCCCATTCCTTCTTTTAGTTGAACCCAACTAAGGGTCAGAAGCAAGGGGACCTGGTTGACGCAGTTCATAAAAGCCAGCCACTGGGGCCACCGAACCCGATGGAGAACCATGGGAGATGGAGACAGGGTTTGAAGGAGAAGAGCCAGTGTAGTCACTAGAATGGTGAGGTGGACATTTTGCTCCCTTCCGTCGGGGGGAGGGGAGCAATCTACAATAAGAAAGGAAGAAAGGGGCGCCTGGGTGGCCCAGTCGGTTAAAGCATCCGACTCTCGATTTGGGCTCAGGTCATGATCTCAGGGTCGTGAGATTGAGCCTGAGCGTGGATATGCTGAGGATGAAGCCTGCTTCACTTTCTCTCTCTTCCTCTCCCTCTGCCCCTCCCCCCCGCTCATGCTCTCTCTCTAAAAAAATAAAACAAAATAATAACAATACTAATAAAGAAAATCTTTTTTAACATAAAGGAGTTTGTCATACTCTCCTTGAAACTCTTCTGTAAGTTTGAAATTTTTCAAGATAAAAATACAATGAATAAATACTCCAAGAATCTGCCCAAATCCTTTTCTAAACCGAGCCAGTTTGGGGCATTGTGGCCCCTGATGAAGGCCCCCGCCACGTCTCAAGGAGACGGAGACATTCCTTGGAGCTATCACCGGCACTCGGGGCTCAACCAAACCCGCTTAGCCCCAGACCCTCCCTGTCCAGAAACAGACCCCTCATGCTGCCAGGGAAGAGCGAGACACCCCTGGATGGGGTGGGTGAGCATCTGCCCCACGGGCTGCCCTCTCCCCCCAGTGCCGCGGCTGCCTGCTGGCTCCCCAGAGTCCCTCACTGCCACCAAAGCCCTCCGACTGGCTTCTCCTCTAGTAGAAAGTGTCAGCTGAAGCTTCCTGGTTGGAGTAACTGAGCGTCGATCTAGCTTTCCGTCTGGAGCTGCCCCGTCTCTTTGTCCGCGTTCACATATCTGTCGACCAGGCTGCGGTCCGGTCTACTAGCGGCTGGCTCACCTGACTGCTGACTTCTAGCCCAGCCTCCTCTGAACTTGCCTTGCGGCTCCTGGAGATTCCCTGACTCCCCACTGCTCTCCGCCTTTGACCTACCAACCCCTGAGTGCCCTGGGGTTTTCTGCCTGCCTGATTCCACTCCCTTGAACCACCTATATATTAACGTTAAATTAATGTTTAAAAAAATCAACAACTCAATAAAAGGAATTGACAAAATATAGGAATGGACAGTTTACAAAAGACAAAATGCAAATTGCTTTAAGACACATAAAAGATGTTCATGGAGCGCCTGGATGGCTCGGTCGGTTAAATGTCCAACTTTGGCTCAGGTCATGATCTCACGAACCGAGATCTCACGTTTTGTGAGATCAAGTGCCACATCAGGCTCTGTGCTGACGACTCGGAGCCTGGAGCCTGCTTCAGATTCTGTGTCTCCTTCTCTCTCTGCTCCTCCCCTACTCACACTCGTGTGTGCTCACTCGCTCGCTCTCTCTCTCTCAAACATGAATGAATGCCTCAAAAAAAAGACATAAAAGATGTTCAGCCTCACTCATAAAATACATATGCCAGTTAAACTGAGGGGTGCCTGACTGGCTCAGTCAGAGAATGCTTCTCTTGACCTCAGGGTTATAGGTTCGAGCCCCACGTTGGGTGTAGAGATTACTTAAAATCTTAAAAACAAAAAAACAAAACAAAAAAACCCTACATTGAAACATCACTCTTACCGATCAGTTTGGCAAAAATCAGAGTTTGTTAACACATGCTGTTGCCAAGGCCATCAGCAAACAGACCTTCTCGTGCATTGCTGGTACAACAATAAACTGGTAAAACCCCTTGGAAGGGTAATTTGGTGGTCTCTATAAAAATTATAAATGCATGTACATTTTGTTTCAGTAGTTCTACTTCTAGGAACTTTTCTTTAAAGATTTTATTTTTAAGTAGTCTCTACACCCAACGTGGGACTCGAGCTCACAACCCCGAGGTCAAGAGTCACATGCTCCACCCACTGAACCAGCCAGGCGCCCTCCCTTCTAGGAACTTATTTTATGAATAGTCTCACCTTAAAAAAAAAAAAAGTGAATGTTCTGACCTTAGCGTGAAATGATGAGGAATCAGTTTATTCCAAAATTGTTTGTCTAGAATAATCAGAATACATCCAATGTTTAATAAAAGTGAAAAGATAAAAAATTTTGAAGACTTTTTTTAACTTTATTGCGGCAGGAACATTTAACAAGATCTACCCTCTTAACAAATTTTTAAGTGAATAATATATCGCTGCTGACTACAGGAAGACTCTGTTTTTAAAATAATAAGCGAGGGGCGCCTGGGTGGCTCAGTCAGCTAAGCAACCGACTCTTGATTCCGGCTCAGGTCATGATCCCAGGGTCGTGGGTCAAGCCCCACTTTGGGCTCCGCATGGAGCGTGGAACCTGCTTAGGATTCTGTCTCTCTCTTCCTCTGCCCGTCTCCCCCACTCATGCTTCCTCTTCCTAAAACATAATACAAAATTAAAAATAAATTAGCAAGTGAAATAAATTCTGAGACTCAAGAAAAAGGTTTAGAGAGTTACACCTCGAAATGTCGTGATTGTGCCATTCTGACCCTACATCTGGGTCTGCAGATTTTCAAAATGCATTCCTCACAGAAGGAATTTCCCACAGGGTTGGTTATCAGCACTGAAAAGCCTACATCTCCAAAGAGCTGCGTCCCTTGACAAGCAAGCTCGCTCCTGTGGTGACCCACATCTCTCTGGTTTTTACTACTGTGTGGACAGTGTGGTATAGCCCTGAAAGCACAGCCACACGGGAGAGAAATCAGCCAGTGAAAAAGACGACCAAACCTCCCTCTCTGAAGGGATTCCTTTTGATTCTCGTAAAACGTGATGGAGACATTTTAAATAAAAACCACAGAAAATGAAACATTAGCAGCAGGTGCCCTGCTACAGATGAGGGTTGGGGAAAAATATCACAACTGGCCGTGGCTACAACGAAAAACCTTTTAAAGGCTCTCTGGAAAAGCCGGTCATCTCAATCTTTCCAGCGACAGAGAACAGTCTTCACCTCCCTAAACTGTTTTGTTTTGTTTTTTAAATTCAGGATGCAATTAATTTGAAAGCTTGAGCTAAACGTAAATTGAGTGGATTGGTGTGGAAAGGTAAATCGATGCACCTCAGATTAAAGATAACTGAAACGGAGTGACCTGTATATTCAGAACATTTTGATAATGGTTACGTGTCTCTTTGGTTCAGTGCTAGAGAAAGAAGTGGCTGGAAGTTGCAAAGTAACCACAGGGACGCTGTAAAACTGCCTGTCTGAAATCTGTTCCTTTTTGTGGTTACTTGGGCCAGGAGAGCCAGTGCCATCAGCAGGCTGGATGCACGGCCTGTCACACGCTGATCACATGCACTCCGCCCGGCCAGCCTTCTCCTCCTGGTCCGGATCCCATGACATAAGGGCGACCAGCTGATTTGGCGTGACAGTTCCCATAATTTCTCACCTGGAGACTGAAAACAAAAACAAAAACAAAACTCGGGCACTTGCAAAGAGCCACTTTTAAAGAGTTATAAGCAAGCACGAAGAGGCTTTCCTGTCTCGTTAGCAGATCTCATTCTGCAAAATACATCCTCTGGAGGCTTCTTGTTTAAGGAACAACTGGGCTGAGTCCCATGTTAATAAAAAGCTACCAACTAGCTTTCACGGTTTCAAAGTGGCCATTTTCCAATTGTCCAAAGCCAGAGTTGCTATAACTTCTGAACATATTCTTCTGAAGTATCTGTGAAAATATTATGGAATAATATGGAATGAAGTTCCGTTCAGCACCAGTTCAACACGCTTAGCCTAAATTTTTTCCAAACTGTAAAGTTTTCCCTCCTTTAGGCAGGAAGTTAGAAAAGAAATGAAAACTAGAGCAGTTTTACTTTAATTACTGACAGGCAACCAGGGTCCCCCCCCCCACCTTACTTCTGGAATATTCCATTCCGTATTGGCAAAACACATATTTCATAACAAAAGCAGAAACGGAAGAAAAGGATCGTGAAAACAATGCCGATGCTAAGTTCCAAGGCTCCCTTCTACAACACTATGTACCTGTTTGTTCCCTCCCATAATGCAAGCTTTATTTCCGGTAAACCACGCTGAGCCTCATCTCTCTCCTCATAGAAGGGCAGGGTTCTTTCCAGCTGTTGGTGTCAGGCAGGAGAAACAAGGCCAGAGGCAGGTTGAGCTGAGGTCAGGTGCTTGGAGACGCCAAAGAGTAGAAAAGCAGAATTGGGGATGGGTGGAGGTCAGAACATGAGTCAATCGCCAGAGACACCAAGTTCAAACTAGGACAAGCCAAGACCAGCGTCTTGGGGGCAAATCTAAGAACAAATCAGGCAGGGATGGACGAATGGGCAAGCTGAAAGACACTAAAGAAACATATGAAATAGGTGTGGCTAGATCGGCACAGCCATTCACTCTGCTCAGTGTCTGGTCGGACTTCCTCTGCAAACCAGCTTCTCCTGGACTTAAAGGAGCCATGCTCTGAAAAGAGTAGAGAGGAGACCAGAAGCGATGAATGTAAGGTGGAGACGTTGTTATGCACAAACATGCACCACCACAACCCCCAAAGGAAGAGCTGTGAGAACCACACAAGCTAAAGATTGGCATCACTTGTTAGAACAATAAATTACACGTAAGGAAGCAGTAGCTACCCTTGAAATACAAAGAGGTTAATACTCATCCCATGATTCACTCGTTAAAATACTGGGTGAGTACCTACAGCTGGACACTGTGCTGAAAGCCGAGGATAAAAAAAGTCAAACCAAATAGAGTCTGTGCTCCCACGGAAGTCACCGAGAAAGAAACAGACGAGTAAATAAGCAATTTCAGGACAGTTGGTGAATACATTGCCCGGGGGAGGTTGTGGGGCGTGAGATCAGATAGAAGGATAATGGTCGGTTTCCAGAGGAGATGAAATCTAAGCTGAGGACCGGGGGAGTGATGCAGGAGAACCTCTCTCCTGACTTGTGCCCTGTGTGTGATTCCTCTGCAGAGCCACGGAGAATGGGGAGGACTCAGAAGAAGACAAAAGAACGGAAGCCCCAAAGACGAGACCCATCTGCTAGGAGTGAAGATAGTAGCCCGGTGTCACCTTGAGTACATTCAAATGTGTAATTCTCAAAGTGCCAAAAGGCATATACAGAGAGCATATGTCAGAGTTTCACTTAGCTCACTCCTGAGGGAACCAACAGAATGATTCCAAGGCAGACACAAGAAATGGGTGTATATACAGTCCACTAAAGAAAAAAAGACCAGGGGCACCTGGGTGGCTTAGTCAGTTAAGCGCCTGAGTCTTGATTTCGGCTCAGGTCATGATCTCACAGTTTGTCGGATCGAACGGCACTTGGGGTTCTGCGTTGACAGTGAGGAGTCTGCTTGGGATTCTCTCTCCCTCGCTCTCTCTCTCTCTCTGTGCCCCTCACTCCCTCTCTTTCAAAATAAATGAATTAACTTTAAAAAAGAAAACATTAGAATAAAAGTGTTGAATTAGAGGGGTGCCTGGGTAGCTCACTTGGTTGAGCACCCAGCTTCGGCTTAGGTCATGGGCTCACGGTTCACGGGTTCAAGCCCCGTGTCTGGCTCTTAGCTGACAGTTCAGAGCCTGGAGCCTGCTTCAGACTCTGTGTCTCCCGCTCTCTCTGCCCCTCCCCCACTTGTGCACACGCGTGCGCTCTCTCTCTCAAAAATAAATAAACAAATAAATAAACATTAAAAATGTAAGTGTTGGGGCGCCTGGGTGGCGCAGTCGGTTAAGCGTCCGACTTCAGCCAGGTCACGATCTCGCGGTCCGTGAGTTTGAGCCCCACGTCAGGCTCTGGGCTGATGGCTCAGAGCCTGGAGCCTGTTTCCGATTCTGTGTCTCCCTCTCTCTCTGCCCCTCCCCCGTTCATGCTCTGTCTCTCTGTCCCAAAAATAAATAAACGTTGAAAAAAAAAAATAAAAAAAATAAAAATGTAAGTGTTGAATTAGATACAAAATTCATGAATATCGATGTCAATTCATCAGTATCACAGGGCAATAAACTATCATCTCCCTGGTTAATTTCAATAGCGACGAGAAATCATTTGCATTGTTCTTGCAGAAAACTGATTCTTTATCTTACTCATTTCTTACATATTAACTTCTAACTTGTGTTGCGAAATGTCTGGGCCCTATTCTTTAGTAAATAGTAAATATTTACTAAATAATAAATTTACTAAATAAATTATTTATTTACTAAATAAATATTTACATATTTACAAATGTAAATAAAGTTACATTTGCTGAGGGTCAAATGATCCTTAGACAGGCTTACTAAGTGATGTCCTAGCATAACAATAAAAAACTCAACACCACCAAGTTTTGGATAACCTTTTAAATAGTAACCCTCTGTAATGTATCAAATATGAAGACATCCCATGAGGAGACTTGTGACCATCCTCAGTCTGCACAAGTGCTAGAAGTTAAAGTTACAGAAAAAAAAAAAAAAACTTTTTTTCTACCTGATTCTAAAGCATACAGATAACCATCTACATTGCAAGTGCTGTTTTTACACTGGTTTTTCTCATTTAATCACCTCGCCCATCCTGTGTAGTAGGTTTTACTGTTTTTAATTTCTGTAGTGGAGGAAAGAAAGGGGCCAGAAATTAAATAACTTTCCCCAAGTATAAATTAGTAAAGTTGTTTGGGAGGGCAGTTGTACAGAGTCAATCCAAATCTGAAATATACATATCCTTTGACTCAGTTAATTCTCTGTTAGAATCTATTCTAAAGAAAGGTTTGCTGCTTAGTACAGAATGTTTATATTGGCAAAGGAGAAAAAAGGGAGGGAGGGAAGGAAGGATGGAAGGAAAGGAGGGAGGAAAGAAGAGAGGGAGGAATGAAGGGAAGGACAGCCTATGAGTCATCAAAAGGGAAGTTGTTAAATAAATTAGGGTATATCCATATTATGACATACTAAGCAATCTTAAAAATAAATGAGGTCGACCCATACTGACCTTCAGCAAAAGGAGCAATTTACAGAATAATGTATTATGTAAAATACAATTGCTCATTAAAAGGCTGTAAAGGTCACATATCAGCTGTCAGTGGTGATTGCCTCAGGCAAGGGGAGCAGGCTTGGGGAAGTAAAGGAAGATGAAGGTGGTGAGAGAAGAATTTTCTATTTTGTTCTGTATTTCTACATTCCTGGAACCATTTATAATGGAAATTGATTACCTACACAATTTTTTAATAATAACAAATGGTACTGGTTCGGGAAGGATAACTCGCCGGAGATTACCCAACTAATAAAAGGGATTCAAGTTACAACTCCAACTCAGGTCTGGCCAACTTAAAAGCTGTGGGCTTTGCAAATTATTATTCACCTCACTGATCACCCATGATTGCATTTACACAGGGATGTTATTCAGGATTGGTCCACCACATCTGTCGGCCAGAAAATTCCTTAGGAGTTAAGGGATGGGACCTGCTTGGCTTCTTCTAAGACATTGGTGTGGTTTGATTGCTTCCAGAACCATTCTGTGCCAGAACATAACTGCTTTTCATCTTGATCACCAAGAAACTCAGAGCCAGACCCAGCACCTAATTCCCATATTCTGGTTTCAAGGTAGACACCCAGTTTCAGGAACAAACTGGAAGTTAGTTAAATTGGGATCCAGGTCTACAAGAAAATGTGGCCACGGAGTCAGACCCAACATGTGGGGCTAGGTCTCCTTCAGTCACCTCAGCAGAAAGTCAGGATACGTTCTAACAGACAGATTATCACACTTGAGTGTGCCTAAGAATTACCTGGTGTTACTCATTAAAAATACAGATTCCTGAGCCTCATCCTTGCAAAAAAATTTGGACATAATTTGGTTCATAATAACCAAAAATTATAATAACCAATAATTGGTTCATAATAACCAAAAAAAAGAAAAAGAAAAAAATTAAGACAACCTAAATGTCCATCAACAGACGAAGAGATAAACTGATGTATTCATAGAAAGTTGTCTCTGGTCATCTGTAGGAAGTAGGTAGGTGGGTAGGTCTGCTGCTACATATATGTACCGAATGTCTGACACTTAGGTGACCCACTAGGACATCTCTTAGTGCTCTACGCTGAGTTTTAGAGGTAAAGTGGCAAGTAGAGTAGACACAGTCTGCGAAGAACAGGGTAACCAGAGGCTTGCACTCTTCAGGGATGAGTCAGGATCACTTAACTGAACAAACCATTAGATCAACAGGAGTGCTGGCCCAGGGACAGAGAAATCTATAATGTGTCGCAGGGGAGAGGAGTGATGAGCATCAGTTATAGCCTTGCGATCAACTATAACATCAGGCACTGTAGTTCATACTACTAACTCTTCCCTTATAAGTTCCCAGGAAATAAGACTGACCAGAATTCTAGAGGATCTATTCCTAGATAGGTCAAAGTTGCCTTAAGAAGGGAATGGAGCTGGGGCTCCTGAGTGGCTCCATTGGCTGGGCATCGACTTTGGCTCAGGTCATGATCTCCCGGGTTGTGAGTTCAAGCCCGCATCAGGCTCTCTGTTGTCAGCACAGAGCCCACTTCAGATCCTCATCTCCCTCTTTGTCTGCCCCTCCCCTGCTCACACTTGCTCTCTCTCTCTCTCTCTCTCAAAAATATAATTGAAAAAATATTTTTTTAAAAAAAGGAACAGAGCTGAGCAGCTCAAGGGGCGGACTGTAACAGATACTGTGGCACTCACTCAGGTTCCCTCTTCAGAGCCCGTGCATCTATCCTCCAGCTGCTGGAAGGATGAGCTGCTGAGGGCTTGCAGCTGTGCCCTTCTTTGGGAATTGCTCTCAGCCACAGGACACTGCCCTGCACAGGTGGCCATCTCTTCCCAGGGGGTAGCCCATGCCAATAGTATGACAAGCTCATAGCTGTCAGTCTTTAAAAAAAAACTAAACTAAACTAAAAGCTTCTCTCTCTTTTTTTAAAATAAATTAAAAGGGTCTCTTTTTCAAATAGATTTCTGGATAGATATTCTCGGGCTTAAGCAAGGACGTGGGCTAACTAATTACGGTGGAGCATAGCGGGGGAAGTGGTTGTCTCAACACTCAAGCTTGAGTTCAAAGACCACATGGGCAGATGTTTCCAGCTTTTTAAGATTCTCCCAGTTCATGTTTTCAGCTGCACACCCTCTGCCCCAGCTCACCAGCCTTGCTAGCTGGGGTTCTCAAAAGAAGGTGCCCTGCCCTATCCCCCTCCCTCCTTGTCTGCTCAAATCCTGGCCCCGAGGGTTTTGATCCTGACCTCGTTTACTTGATCGTCCTCCTCATCTCAAACCTTCTGACTTCTTCAGTTTGCAAAATGAGAGTCTCTGCTTGCTTGGTCCGTCTTCTGAAGCCTTTCTTCTTGGGGGTTAACCATCACGTGGCTCCTACATATATCTGGAGCATAGTCTTCCCTCTCTCACTGGAGGAGGGTTTTAGATGACGGTGATAAGGGACACAGCATAGCTTTCAGCTGTGCTGGGTAGCTTTTCAAAGCCATGTGTGGTCCAGTCCCCACAGGTGCACAC